CAAGTGGACTAGAGTTCTATTTTTTGATTTATTCATTTATATTTCCACTTTTTAGCGATCTTTCGCTTTAGCGATCTTCGAATCATTAAATTAAGCCAAATTAGAACTATTTACTTGCCGCGTGGTCCAAGAACTCGAAGAGGGAGTTGCCAGAGATAAGGCACTCTAGCCCTCACGAGAACATTCTCTAACCCTGAAAATGAAGTTTCCAACCTTTCAGGACGAAAGTCCTAAGCTGGAATGGCTTCCTAAGCAGCTGTGCAGTTTACTATAGTCCATTTGTAACACTGGGCATACAGGATGACCCACATGAAGTGTGACGGGCAATAAAAAAAATCAACTTGTGGGCTTCTGGACTGGAGGATGCGGTAATCCCTTGGGAGGAAAGGATCGCGATGACGTCAGCTGAACCTTTTGTAGGGTTGGGCACTAGCCCACAGCACAACGAAGATGCTCTAAGGTTGTGATCCCAAACTCCCAGGTTTTTGGGGCAGTTTTGACCTTCAAATTCCCGATCTTAAACCTTTAATTTCTGCTGTGTGAACGATTCTGGAGCGAAAAGCCTGCGCTTTCAAAGTGATTCTGCATGCTAAGTGTGATATGTTGTTTACAATTTTGTGGTGATTGTATAGGAGAAAATATTTCCTATTTGGTTAGGTTTGTATAATTTTGATGCTAGTTTTCTGCGTCACACTTCATGTGGGTCACCCTGAATATCGAGGGATCTTTTGCGTTTTTCGATAATGCGCCAAGAGATCAAGAGGAGAACAGTGCGTATTGAACAAAAACGTGGTGGTAGCGAGACAGTAGGTGTTCGATCCCATTGAGTTGGCTCTCTCAGCTCTAAGCTCTATCGCTATGAGAAATACGCAGAAAAGCAATGTTTTCCCTTAGGATGTCGACATTGTTGTATCGTGGTTCAGTAGACATAGGGTATTTACGTTTAACATCATCGTCATCTAACTGGGGTATAACTTATCTGCATATGCGGTGGGTTAGTTTGACATTTTGTATGTTTGTGATGCGCTGAACCAGGATGAATCTTGCGGCAGCGCACCTCCGCGTGAATTACCAAACCAATGTTAGGATAATAATTCCATAAAAATTTTTTTAGTCACCGGGTGTGATGATAGAAATATGAAACGGTTCCACTTGAGAAATCGCAAGCATATAGGGGAAGGAAGGAGGGAGTACATAAAAAACGATATTATTGTACTAACAAAATTCAGATTATTACAACTGAGAAGGATGAAAAAATGAAAGAATATTGAAAATCATCACATTGTTGAGGTTTGATTGGGCGCCTGGTTAGGCCCCCTTTTTAGTAGTCCGCAATGACCGTTTGCAATCTCGTGACATTACGCTTCGAAAGAGGTGTTTCCATATCCAGCAGATGGCAGGGAAATGTGATTCGTGTGTCGAATATGTATGTAGTCCTCTGTAGGAGCCCGGGTTCCAGAACAAATTTTGTACTATGGGAAGTTTTGACTGAATAAGTCATTTCACACTCCATTTCAAACTGTTTCTGAAAGAAGTACCCCGTTTTGAAAAGGCAGCATGTTAAGAAAACATGTTAGTGGTATGCTACTATCCCGCAGACTACTCAAATGAATGTAGAAAGTCTTCCACCTGAAGAATGTTATGCTAATTGTTGGCTTACGCAATCGAAGTCAGAGTCAACGCATACAACAATTTTCACCCATGGAAACAGATTGGAGCTTTAAACTTTCAAAGATACAGTGACAACTCTTTGGATTTTCGAGGCACCATAGCAATGGGTGGGGTAGAGGAGAAAGCTTTGACGTTGATCAATTCATGCCCATTTCAAAATGCGTCACAGCCATCGACCTCCATTTTTGATCGCAGATGGTTTGAACGCTCTTTTGACTCAGGCATCGAATTAAGGGACTAACGAACAAGTAAGTCAGTGTGTTTGTCTTTCCAAACGATTACACGACCTTTCAACCAGATTCTGACGTATGAAAGGCTGGGGGTAGTAGCACTAACGCACATAACACAACTTCGTTTCGGGTGGCTTTCTTGTACTTGTTTTCTCGCAGCAAGCAGCAGTGGTCTCCCTGCATTTACTGCAATATTCGTTTGAGAACTTGAGTCCTTCCTTCAGAGCCGCAGCTCCGCGCGATCGGGTACGACACGTCCTTCGGGCACAGCAACCCACACATCCACAACGCCGACCTTCTTATTCTTAAATATTAAGTTGAATTTATCTAGAAGTTTACTCTAGTATTTGCACAGGTTCCCTCATCCATCTGACGTAATGGACGAAGCTGCAACATTAATTAGTATCAATACTGCATCTGAACATCATCAGAGAGGTGTGTCATTACATGCGTTCAAGGACGTAATTAACCCACAAAAATGCCAAGTAAACTCTGCCAACGGTAAAATGAACTTCCTCAGCTAATTCAACCTTAATACCCATAACCATAAGAGGCAGATGTGGGCAGTGCCAACTGGCGCTACGACCTACAGCACAGTCTTATACCCTTCCAAGGTCCTTTGAAAGGAACTAAACTCGTCAGGCTTTCATACTCTTCTGCGATCGGAAATGATGTATTCTGTGAGAATTTGTCTCAATGCTCTGTGCTTTTTCAGCAATCGAAGCCCGATTGATTGAAATCCATCGATCAAAACCGTTCTATTGGCAACTTCATACAAAAAGCACTCTGAATTTCGATATTGGCACTCAGAATAAGCACCAGACATCTCGCGAACAAGTCGCTTCATCAAGCACTGGAATTGCCTCAAAAGATTCACCTTGGTTTTTGCACAACTCCATGGATCTCCCACATTCGTGCGATTGACGTGGCACCGTGTGCTGTGCGTCGAGCTGATCGTCCATAATCCGCTAATGACGTTGACGGCTTTCTTTCGTAAACGCCGTTCATCCTTTACTGCTGTTGCCACTTATTGCGGTCAATTGTTCAACAATTGCTTCGAACAAAGACAAATGCTCACGTCAAGAATAGCATTCCATCAACCATTCACAACATTCATAATTTCCATTGACTGTCGTGGAAGTGGTATTAAGTTTATAATGTTGATGGCGTGATCAATCAACACAGAAAATTTAGTTCTCAATCTAATGGTCAGGATCCTACACGGTTGATTCTGTTTGTTTTTGGGCACTTCATTTTGCCAAAATCATTCAAATCAACCGTTCAAGTAGGGTACGTCCCGCTGTTTTGGTCGTCATGTCCATTGAGCGGGTCCATTTCCATCTAATTTGTGCTGGAAGGATAGAAAGTGACTTGCCTGATAAATGAGAGGAGAAGAAACTTTCAATGCTCAGTCTTAATAAGCATAAAACTACAAGCACTTCAACAGATCGGTCTCGATACTTTTTCCACTAGAAAACCACGAAATCGCGCGATTAACAAGTGCCTCGAAAGCGGAATCATTTTCGTGAAGGACCACCAACGTAGGTGAATGTGGGACCGGTAGCCTTGAATAGGCATCGTAACAAAACCACGAGTACTCAGATACAGAGTTTAACGAATTTGTTTACGGATTCTCGCCTCGTACACAATTTTGGCACCTTACGGTTAATATCGGATTATATTGCTATTTTAGGAGTGCAGTTTTTTTTTATCGAACCTTCACCAACTGTCTGGCACAACATGCGGAATAGCTTTCGCGCAATCTCCTATTGGAAAAAATGAAGCCTAGTTTGGGTTTTATTTACGAGCTACATTAATTGTACTTCTAAAATTTCGCTTTGCGATGCCTCTCTAGCCTTTGCTGGTTAAATGTTGTTGCTGGCTGATCCTCTGCAGCAGCCCAAACAATTACCTGTCATGATGCCCCATAGTAATCTATGGGGCATCATGACCATGGGGCATAACCTCTCCAACAAAGAATATACTCTTTGGACGGTTTTCCCATCTAACCCGGTTATTTCCAATAAGTGCGACTTTACAGTTGATGATCGTTTCTGAGTGATATTATCAGGATTCGGTTTTCCACTATACTTCGAAATACATGTGTTTCAAGTTCTTTTTGATGAATGTGGAACGAAAGTTGTGGTTGGCACCGCCATCCTTCATATGTAAGCCGAAATGAATTGAAACAAAAGATGCTTCAAGGAAGCAGAGATTGATTCTACACCTTTAGCTCGGATGAAGTATTTTTGTCACAATATAGCTGTTCATACAGGCGCATTTCTGTACGCATAGGTAAGTAAATATCTAAAGAATGGGCAGGAGTCGTGCTTTTGGCTTCTATTGTAAAATCATTCAGATAGCACAGCACTGAGTACTGGATGCAGGCGGATATCCAAATCGCCCTATTGAGTTAGTTCATTTTTACTTGTTTTTTCATTTTTATTCATTTATCTAATTGCTCAGATTCATCTTCACATTTGCTATTGTTCGTAGTGAAACGCTTAGCATTGAAAAAATCAAAACTGGTCACATAGAAGCGTTGAAAAACGAACTTCTTTCATAGATATCATATGCTGCTGCGACAAACTTTCCATGAGGCGCATTTGATGTCTATCTTTCTCAAAGTATGTAGAAGATACTGTAATCACCCCACCCGCCAATTAGTGGTGTTTCAATTCAGCAAATCCGAAGGTCTAGAGGTTCGAAAACAGGATGAGTGCAGGTGTCAAGTATTGGTTGTGCGGTAATTATCTCAAACTTTGACCCTAACGAGAACCCCCGCCGGGCAAACTCAAGCACTAAACGTCTTCATGGTTTACGTAATCCCCAATGCAAACATCGCAACCGTTTGCTACGGTCGTTCGTCAAACGCTCACCGCCAATAATTACCCGTAACCACAATTGACAGAGCATCCGCCAACTTTAACAGTCTCGAGCACTAACTATGTACGTAGCACCCCACCTGAAGTATAGTATGAGGGGGAGGGTAGGGCCAGCATAACGTGGTAAATTATCTACTTGTGAATGCATATTCACGGCTCATCTTTTAGTGGTCTTAAAAACCTTGCAGTACACTTTGTCGGTTTTGTAGAAGGTGTTGAATCCACTGAGCCGTAGAGTGAACGTCTCGGAAAGACTATGCACAGTACAAATTTGTTGTCAGAAGGAAACGGGAGCAGGGCTTCGAAAACAAACTGTATACGGTCTAGGCAACCTTTCTTTCCTTGGCCCTCTCTTGAGGCTACGTTTGTCCAAGGTGATGTAAAAATAAGCAGCATGGCTTACCCTGGAAGCATTGGGACACATGTTCGAATGCTGCGCTCAGATCGAGCCAGCAGCTTCAAGACAGCAGCCACCACGCGTACTGTGGGAAGTGTATGTATGAACCTGGCGATCTACTTCCGGAAGATAAAAGACTATAGCGAAAAATAGTTTTTTAACGACATTTGTAGAAGACTGTCGAAGACCCAAGCCATGTGCGTCTAACTGTAACGGGAAAAAAGCGTGAAATGATGGAAACAATGAGCCAGATGTGCGGTAATCCACTCCTTCGACTAATACTTTTCTTATCCAAAGTTCTATCGAACACCTGACTAATAGAGGGAACGTTAATTGGTATCGTGTAGATTGTTAACAGCATTCAACTAGCTCGTTCATTCCACTAATTAAGCAATTAGAGAGAACAGCCTTTCTAAGTTTGGATCAATTCACTGTAGTGCTCTCGCTCTTGAATACTGGGCTGAAGTTCTTATTGGCTGAATGCGCATACACGAAAACACAAAAAAATGTCAAGCCACATTCCAACCTGATGATTTTTTCTTCAGCCTTCAGCTAGAACTTTTCGTTGCTTTTACTTCTGCAGTGGAATGAACGTTTCTGTAATGACGTTCTGTATGCTGTATTCTGCAACGCTTTCATCTAGAGATGAGCTAATTTATGCAGGACCGATCAGATTTCGAGGCTGACATTCGAGAGGAAGAGTCCAATTAAGTGGGCAGGTGCCGCTTGACTACGGTACTGCCATCGGGTGGCCAATCACGGCTGCCCGTCCCGATCCCGCCCACCATTCCTGGAGCCGTTCATGTGGAGCTAATTGCTGCCTGGTGATGTGTTATTTTGACCCACAGTGTCAAGTTTAATCCGCAGTTGCATCTCCGGTTCACAAAATGGCCGGCACTTCCTTTTCCAATCAGCAGGTACGACAGGTCGCCAAGTGTTCTCGACTTTCTTCTTAATGAATAGGATTTTCAGTTGGATGTAATCTGCACTGCCCTTTATCAGGCAAAAGACGGTGATCAGCTGGTCCATCTTTTTCGAGATATCGACTCCCAAGTCCTGTGCTCTGATTGGACGTCACAACCCGTCCGAATTGGTATGGCTGGCTTACTTGTTTTCTGCTGTACATAATTTTTCTTGCATTACTGCTGGTAGATACGCGTTCGATGGCTTTCTTGTCTGCTGTGGCAGCTGCACGTGTGGTAAAGGCTTCTACTGTTTGAAGAGCAAACACTGATTCATACATATAGGACCCGAGAATTTTCCGTGGGCTTCTTAATCTTCAGAAGTATGAGGCTCACAGCTACAGTGTCTCTTAACGCCTTTGACATAAATTCCATCGATCTAATAGGTTTGAAAGGATCCTACGCACCTCGCAAGGAAGAGTCGGCTAATCGAAAGGCGAAGCTTTGTTACTAGTGATTTGCTACTAGGAATGGAAAACTTGATTGGTTTGGCATGGAATCACTTGCTATTTTACTTTGGCGACGCCAATTTTGAACGAATTGGTTTCGGGGGCAACAGAAATAATTTACTTAGGAGTTTCTTCTGTTTTCCTGCTGATAAGCGCGTACGAGAGTAATGGCAAAAAGTTTCACGTGGGCATCCATGGAACACTTATATCGCTGTCAGTTTTTGCCATTGGAGAATTTTTTACCTCCCTCGGGAGGGTTACCTCTTTCGGCATAGTCACTAGATTAACAATTATAATAGCTGTATGACAAGATATCAATTCTATGGAACCTCAATCATAGTTGGTCAGGTCTAGTTTATGTCAGTCAATACGTAGGAGTTGCACACACTGCTGTCACAAATTCCGGTAATCACGATGCTCCCAATGTATTTATGTATTCAGCATACATTTACGCTCTCTATCATGCCGGCAACTATGACCGATTATTCGAGGTGATCGGAAGATCGAGATTCGACGAGAAATACTTCAAAGAATTACAAGAAATATGGTACAAAGCACGATACAAAGAGGTAAATTGAAACTGTTATTACTCCCTTTGAGTTTTTTCAAAATTTCTGTCGTAAATTCGAAAATATATGATGCTGAGTCAGCTCTCAGGAAAGAAGTCTTCTCATAAAGTTGTCAGTGTGTGTGGCCTGCACATCCTGTTGTTCTTTTCATAGAAAACTTTTTTCTTGATCAAAAAACATTCGAACTTCTCGAAAGTCTTCTCCCCAGATCTTCCGCAAGAAGTTTAGGTGGTCTTACGAGAGTAAGCGTTCATTTCTTTACACTACTCTCTGCCTCAATCTCCTTTACTGTGTGGGGTACGATCTCACTCCTTTCCACTCTTGTACTTCTTCATCATTCAGTCAAGCAAGCCAAGAAAAAATCGAAAAATAGAAAGGCCAAAATTTGTATTCTTCATGCCTACTTTCCAGTTTGGAACTTAGAATCTTCTCAAAAACATCCACCCCATACAAAAAAGCTGCAATCACTTCTATGGCTATTTAGCCGACCGCTATCCTCCTGACTATTGAGGTCATTCGCACTAATTTCTTCGAGCGCTCTTTGTTATTAGACAGGAATGGACCCACCCTATTCTTTCCTCATTCATGTTTAACATGCTGCCCTTGAAGGGGCACAAACGCTCCTCTTCCGGGAACGTTGCCAAGCCACGTCCTAGATGTAAGCAGAGGGTTTCAGTGATACTGTACTGGTCCTCCTCCGAAAATCGGTTGTTCCTGCCATCAAAATTGTTTTTGGCGGGATCTAAAACACCCCGGAATTGGCGTTCACATTGTTCCTGGCAGTATTCGGTGTCAGTTTTCTTGTAATGTATGGTCACATTTTTTGGAGATCAGTCTGTTATTGCTTATCTTCACCTACACTGCTGATGATGCCTCTCGCTCCAGGCTCGGCTGGGACTGATTCGGCGAAGTTCCTGGAAGGCTAATATACCAAAAAATAGTGTGGCTCCTGACGATGGGAAAACCTACTTCGGAGTTTTTCAGAATGAGTCAAAACGCGGAAAGGAGTTAGGTGCAGTGGAAAAGTATCGTCTACGACGAAAGTACCCACCACCGCGAAGCATTTGGGACGGACAAGAAACCATTTACTCATTTAAGGAAAATAGTAGAAAGGTATAGTAAATCACCTGGTTGGTTCTGTTTTCCGCTTGAATTGAAATTAGTTTTCAGTACTTGAAGCAGTTCTACAAGCAGAATCAGTATCCCACCCTCGACCAAAAGAAGGAAATCTCTCGAGCTACAGATTTGGAGATCGTGCAGGTCCCCAACTTTCCTTTTCGATACTTATCGCCGTATATAAAAAATCATGCGTTCAGATTTCAAATTGGTTCAAGAATCGTCGTCAAAGGGATAAGACGAGGATGGAGTGCGCGCAGTATGGTCGACCGCAAATGGTGCAACTGCAAACACTTGCCTACAGTAATCTACCACTGAATATGAATATCAGTATGCCGTATTCGTGCAAAATGGAGTAAAATGAATGAATAAAATAAATTCTTCCAAATTATCTGCATTAATCATGTGTTTATCCATTGACCCTACCTCTACAGGTGTTTCTTGAAGTAATGACTTTCGTGGATGGACAGACAGACAGACAGATAGACAGACACACACGGACGTGCAGTCTCTTCATATATATTATAGTAAATATCATCCTTCACTTAGTGGCAAAAACCAGTGCTGCTACTTGGGCATTCGTATCAGTTCCACTTTGAGTTGTTTCAAAAAGAACCACATTCGCTAGAGCTACCTGACAGTACTTAGTGTAGTGTGTACTTACCTTGAACCGTGTATGCGTTTTCACATGACAAAGAAAATTGAGCTTGCTTTCATACTAGCCATCTTAACGCTGCCTTTCTGAAATATATTTGTGTATCATACGATTGAATGTATAGGCCACGATATTTTGTTGGTCCATAGAACACACTTATGCACAGCTTAAAAAACATTGACGCTGCAAAAGGCCGAAGTGTGCTGTTAGCGAAGGAAACCAACTACAGTCACAGTTTTTGGAAGACCTAAACATTGTACGTGAAAGTTAGGCCCTCCATGATCTTTATAGGTGTCGCGAGGCTTCCTTGGGGAGAAGACGCGCCGATGCAAGCCGCTCTGAAGTCCATCTCCCTCCGCCGTTTTCGGGATTTGTTGGGGATGCTGTGCTGCGAGCCGCTTCTGCAATCCCACTTCGTCACTAGTCTCGTCAACAGTTGCAGTTGCTAGTCAGCTGCAAAATATCGCGGAGACTATCCGGAAAAAGCTACTGCCGAGACGAGTTCTGTAAAATCCCTACATTCCGGCGCTATGTTTCATTTACTACTTAAAAGTGGAGGAGCTGGGCTAGCGCGAGGTCTTCCACTCACACTATTTCACTTACATTACTCCCCTTGACCATTATCTGCTCTGTACTCCTCAGGCAATTCTAGTTATAAAAAACAAATAAATGTGAAGATGTTGTACGGGTGGCCAGTGGTTTCTTTGACTCCCTATCTTTCCAGCTTTGAAAGAAGGTGATTGCCAGAAGGTGGTGCGCTGTTGCCTAGCAATCCATACTATATATAAACCGCAAACGTCCGTTTGTTCGTTTGTATGTTTGTACGTTTGTCTGTTTGTCTGTAACACTTCCTTATATGGTGCCGTTTGGAAATCAACTCGAACAGCTCAGACAGGTTACAACAAGTGAGGAATGAGCCGCACTCCTTGGGTACACGTGACTTGAGCTAGCTCCGCCCACCGGGGGCGGAGTGTCCCGCTGGGGGCGGGGCGTCACCGAATTCTGTAACTCCTGTTCTTCTGGGCCTAGAGTATTCAAATTTGGTAGAGATGTAGGCGGCAGTAAGAGGAAACTGATGGTAGAGGACAGGTGTAGACTCCGCCCACTGGGGGCGGGGCTTCCTCGAAAACAGTAAATTTGGACCTGGGGCGTTCAAATTTGGTAGAGATGTAGGCGGCAGAAAGGGAAAACTAACGGTAGGTGACAGGTGTAG